CTAAGCACTGTAGGAGTACTGACAACCAAGTGTAATTGTGAAGCTGGCATATCTCCATGTGCCAGACTCCATTTAGTGCATATGAGTACAGTCAAAGTGACTTCTCAGAGATTTTGAAAGCATCAGAAGAACTAGTCCCAAGGGTTAAAAACAAAAGGCTGTAAATTCATACTGGAGTGTGGGGCGTTGTCAAAGCCTGTTGCAGGAGCTTCAGTTTGTTTAGCTAGGTTCAGAACTAAGACTTGTCACAAATAATGGCACCCATTTCACCTAACTTTAGCTGTCCAAGTGTCACTTAGGTAGCACTAGTGCTAGTGCTTAGTCTTCTTCTATAGCCAGCCTATCTTTTATAATTACTCTCAGTAGAATATCTGCTATCTAACAACAACTGTGAAGCTTCAGTTTGGGACTAGATTATATACCTAACCCTTTTTATCTCCTTTCAGCTTGTAACACTCTGTACCACAAGACCAACCAACTGGGTCTGCTTACTCAGGCTTCTGGAAGCTCCTGAATCTGGTCAGCATTATATCAGTGATATCTTAATAAAAATAATGAGAAAGCTGTGAAGTAGAGGAGTGGTCTAGATGCTTAGTTATACATGTGCAAACATATAATACAGACATTGAACACACAGCAAGGGTTGCTATATAGGATGCTGACTCTTTAAAATGGTTACAGTCATAACTAGAGAAGTCAAATTTCCCTCTGCTGTTCTCTCTTTCTATATATATACAGTGAGAGCTTGGATCTTGCATGTATTGAGTTTCTCTTACCACTTAAAATCATAAATGGAGTAAATTGTTTCAAACTGACTATTTCACAAACTGAATCCAAATGTATCAACACAAAATTTGTGTGATACAAGTCATAAAGTTTTCTGAAAGGTTTCTACTTTTCCAGTGCTGCATTTGGAGTAATGCTATTAAAAAAAAAAAAAAATAGTAAAAGCAATAGTAAAAAAATAAAAAGGAAAACCACACACACACACACACACACGAAAACAAAGCATAACACAGATCTTGCAAATTAAAAGAATAATCCTTCCATGAGCAGAAGTATTAAAATATTGTCTGTGGATTAACTCAGATGACTCACCAGATATTGCAACCATGGAGATCAAATAGTGATATATTTGATAAAGAGATTAGGGCAAACAGCAGCAATGGCACGTTTTCCAGATGTTATGTAAAGCAGAATTATAGTACAACTTTTTTTAAATTCAGGGCATATACTGTTATTTTTCCCTCTGTATATTCTGGCCTCTGGGCATATTTCTGTTCTTCCCTTCCATGCTCTGTTCAGCTTTCACTGTTACATGCACTACAAGGGAACTGCAGCCACTTTTCGCAAGCAGCAGCAGGACACAGACATGCTTGTGCCCAGCTGAAGTTTGGTCTGAAGGTAAGAGAGCAGCAACCCTTTCCTCACCACCCTTGCAGTGACTCTGTGCTGCTGTACCCTAACATTATAAGGTTCTGGGAATAGTGAACCTGGGTTTTTTTTAAAGAGCTAATGTCCTTCCATCATTATGCAGTACCAATACAAGTAGAAAATGCTGATTAAAATGATTAAGTATTGATTAAAATAAATAAATGTATCTTTATAGTTAAACATGGCACTTGAGTTAACACTACTACTGCAATTCATGTTTTCCTGACTGGTCAGAATTTATAGGTGATCCCACTTGTACGTAGCCTTGTGTCTTCCTCTTAAGCTTGTCTGTCTAAACAAGGAGAGGTATAAATGGCTGGACTTTGTAGCACACCCTGTCTGCTTAACACAAGGAGTGGTGGGCTTGAGTTTTGCAGTTATGTGTGTTTTCTGTCAGGAGGACATTTACAATCTTCTTGAAAGAATTTGCATGTCTTGTCAAAATTTATAACACTCTTCAAGTATTGCAGATAACTGCTTAGCACTAACCTTTTGTTTTTAAAATAAGCAGATACAGTCCAATCAACCTAGTGCTAACAATTAGTGATCTAGTATTAAAAGGCTCGTGAAAGCATTTGCTGCTGTAGTTTGTGCACACATAGCATTTCTCATCCCGTAACCACTTTCAGCTACCTTTGCCAGCCTCACCATCAAATGTGGCAGCTGCTGAAAACCCTCTAGGCCCAGCCAAAAAAAGCTTAGCAAAGAGTATCACTTCTCCCTGCAGCTGCATGGATGTTGATGCCAACTCAGCAGACAAGGTATGGGTGGGAACAAGTAGTGGGAAGGTGGGATCATTTGTTTCAGCAGCAGTCTGGAGTTCGTGCCAAAATAAATTGCTCATGGGACTACTGACTGAGGATTGCCAATATTACACTGATATGGAAGTAGAAATTCATGCTGATAAAGTCTTTTGTTAGTAATTCATAAATCTAAGAACATAAATGTGAACCTAGATTTCAGAACTTTAGTTTTTCAATATCAGAATGATATTGTTCTCTCAATACTAAATCAGACAAGTTTAAATATTTGTGTCTAAAGGTGGCATGCTGATATCAAATAAATGAAAGTGTGACTTAATGAAATTGAGTGCATTTCATCTTCTGTCCATGCTCATCAGCAGCTGAGCTGATGAGTCAGGGTGCCTGTACCCCCAGACACAGAACTGTCATTGTGGGAAGATCAAGGGGTGGGGTCTTTGAGGTAATGTTGTCCTTTACTGTGAGAGTAAGTGTAAACTCTATGACCATTCTTCTCTTCCCTTCCCCGCCCTTCCCTTCCTTTCCCTTTTCTTTTCTCTTTTCAAATTAAAAACTCAAAAGTGACATTTTTAAGCTAAAGAAATTATATTTGAAGAAAATTTGGAGAAATCTCTAGAATATTGAGTAACCTCTTACCATTAAGTGAGGGCCTACGGATTATTCAACTAATCTGGAATAAAGCTTTCACTGTAAAAGTTAATTCTCCAAAGTGGAAATTGATATGGAATTTCCTTTGGGCTCAGGACTCAGAACACTGACCTGGGAAATGAATGTGATTTGTAACAAATCTAATATGGGCTCAAAAGCTATACAGCCTCCTCCAGTGATCCCAAGGTAATCATTCTTTTCTTCAGTGCTTCTGTAGCTCCTACTCCTTTGCAAAAATCATCTTGGGAAGACTTTTCAGGACTGAGGGAAAATGCCTCTTTTAAGTTCTCTCCTCCTGAATTCCCAGGAGTTTCTCAGTTTTGTATAGCTCTGGCATCAGTCCAACTTAAAACTGGCCATTTCCAGTTTTTGCCTCTTTATAACTAGCTTGGAATAGTGCACATACTCATCCATGTATGGATTAACATGGTTAGTGGAAGCTTGTAGCTAATAATGTTAGTAAATTTGAGATTTTTATTTGGATTTTTCACTTGAACTTCATCAGAAAGAGGATGGAGCAGTCTGTGATTTCTTTTTGAAAAAAAGTTGTTGCTTAATATAGTCATGCATTTTTCTCTCCAAAAAGAAGGATAAGAGTTCACCTATTCAACTGTCTTCAACACAGTGACATTGTTCCACCGTACAGCTTACGTGGGAGAATAGATAGTGTGAAGTGAGGAAATGTGGTTTGGGAGTCATTTCTACTTGCCTATTTTTCACTCTCTGGATGTATGGCAGTCCTGTTTTTGTAAACTCTTGGGTACCTGTTTTAGCTTTACAGCTTTTTTAGTTTTTACATCTGCAGAATCCCCTCTCTGTGATCAGGTGGTAATGGAGAAAATGTAAAGTTTGATGCAATTTGTGTTTGTTGCAAATCACAGTATCACTTTATCTATACATATAAACTGTAAAGAACTGTAACCTTGAGACTGTATATTACTAAACAGAGATTTGTCTTTTTTTCTCTTTCAACTATGTATTCTCCTTCCCTTTGGTTTCTTTAGAAGACCAGGGTAAATTAGAGTACAGTGCAGCTCTGAAATAAAATTCATATTCTTACATTCAAAGACCAGTATTCGAAAGAAGTAAGCAACGTAGTACCAGTGCATGAATAAGATGCAGCAACATACCCAAAAAGTAGAATCTGAGGTGGAAAAGCAGAACATGTTTCTTCCAAAGACTGTAGTATTATTGTTTCTACATCCGTACTGCTGCATAATATTGCTATATTGAGCACCGTCAAGCATGTTTTACTGTTAGAATCAGATTACTGAGGCTTGAGAGCCGTTGCTACCATTTACTAAATGTGGAGAAATTTATCTTCAACTTACAGAGTACAAAGGGAAAAAAATAGTGTTAATTGTCAGGAGCAGATTTTACTTCATTCTGTAGAAACTGTATTCTGTTCAAAAGCAGTATATTTGATATATGTCAAAAAGAGTATCAATCTTTTAAACAAGTATTTCCAACCATGTGAGAATTTTGTACAATATTGCTAAGAGGAAGAATGAAATATGATAAAAATATATAAAATAATGCTATTAAGTATCCTTTTTAAGATCAGTTTGTATAATTACACTTTCATGCAGACCAAAGTGCAATAGATCACTTAATTATTATTACTTATTATTAATTATCACAGTATCCTTAAACATTATAGCACATCAAGCTGGAAAGAGGGCCTGAGACCACAGGAGTACCAAGCAACAAAGCCTTCTGTTAGCATAAGAATAATGGAATCATAGGAGATCCCAAGTTGGAAAGGACCCACAAAGATAATTGAGTCCAATTCCTGGATTCACACAGGACCACCCAAAATCCAAACCACATATCTGAGACCTGTGTCCAAACCTTCCTTGAACTCCAGCAGCTTAGAGCTGTGATCTCTGCCCTGGGAAACCTGTTCCAATGCCCGACCACTCTCTCAGTGAAGAGAGTTACCGAAGAGTACCTTACCAAAAGTGTTGTAAGAAAAAAAAAATCTGATACACTTGGCCACAGCATTAAGTAAAGCATGTATATTTCCATAGAGAAAACACAAATATAACAGCATTCTGTCTGCAGATGAGAAATCAACACAGATAGTCACCAAGGTATGCTCATCACTGACATGTATTGAGAACTCTCCCAGAACTCACACACATCATCCACACATACCTTTGGGAAATCACTTCTACTCCCTGGAGCTGGGCATGACCATGAGGCATACCAGCATCATTTCACTGAGCAATCCCAAGTGACCAGAGTCCCTCTGATGGGACAGAGACATTTGTTGACAGGAAAATAGTAGGAATTTATACAATTACGCAACACTTTTTGTAACTATTTCAAGTTCAGTACCTTTGCTTGGCACAATTTGTGGCTGGATAATTCTTGCCTTTAATAGTATTGGCCATTATGTGAATATTACATTTAATCACAGGGAAATAACAGAATAGTTGTAAACACTTTCAGTTTCCTGAATCAGTGGCAGAATGGATTTAAACTAACCCTGACAATCAAGTGGTGTCATCCCAGGATGACGTGGCAGGTGTTGATCTTTACTCCTGCTGGCGATGACAGGACCTGAGGGAGCAGCATGGAGCTGCATTAGGGAAGGGTCGGGTTGGAGTTTAGGAAAAGGTTCTTCACCAGAGGGTGGCTAGAACCATGAACAGGCTGTCCAGGGCTGTAGTTGTTGCCCCAAGCTGCCTGAGTTCAAGTAGCATTTGGACTACACTCTCAGACATGGGGTTTGAATTTTGGGTGTTCCTGTGCGGAGCCAAGGGTTGGACTCACTGATCTTTGTGGATCTCTTCCAACTTGGGATATCCTATGATTACATGGTTCTGAGTCTCTGCAGCCAAGACCTGTTAAAATAATCATTTATTTTCCTTGTTGTTTTTGAGACATGGAAACTTTGTCAACCTTGAAACAGAATGAACTGCCAGCAGTGTAGTTGTTTTGAGTAAATATTCCCAGGATTTCAACACACCATGGATGGCAATGACGTCTCTTTTAATGTTTGTTGTCCGAATTCCAACGCACAATATTGAATATAAAACACAAGACTGCAGGTTATGCTGCAAGAAATTTAAGCAGATAAAACAGATCTTAATAGCTCTGCTTCCTTCCCCTTTTATTTTAATGTTGCTATATTATTTCCATAATTTTTAGTTATACCAATTTTGAAGGGGCTACTCTTCCAAAAGCAACTTTCTCGAGGAGTAATTTGGAGAAGAATAATTCCATTGTGTGCATTTTTTAAGTTTCTATTTAAAAAATCTTTTTTTTTCCCTCTCTACTAAGAATGCTCTAGGTGGACTTCATTTTATTTTTATTTGGGTAGCAAGCACTGTGTCTCTGAAGCAAAAAGGCTTGTCTTCCTAAAGTCAGGTCAAGGTAATTGTATAGTTAGAGCAATACCCATTCTTCTCCTCCTCTAAAAAAAAAAAAAAAAGAAAAGAAAAAGAAAGACTTGTGAATTACCTGTTGCAGATGGTAAGGAAAATATTTTCACAACATCATGAGTCAAGCACTGGAGCTGGTTGCCCAGAATGAATATGGAGTCCCCATCCTTGAAAGAATGTAAAGCTTGACTGAGGTAAGCACTGAGCAGCCTGTCCTGAAAGTAGTCCTGCTCCAAAATTGCATGGACTGGATGATGAGAAAAGAGGTAAGGGCCTCAAGTAGCTCTAGGCAAAGTTCAAATATCAGGAAGATTTTTTCCACAGATAGGCTGGTTAGGCATGGGAGTGAGCTATTGAAACAGGTGGTATAGTTGCCATCCCTAGCAGCATTTATGAGGCCTGTGCACTTAGGTACACAGTTTAATGATAGACATGGTAGTGTTAGGTGGATGGTTGGACTTTTCCAACCTAAATTATTCTATGATTATATATCCAGAGGACCCCTGCAATGTAGATTCTCCTATGAATCTATTATTTTGAGGACCTCCACATGCTCATTTCTTCAAATCTTACACTTTAATTCCCGATGGATCCCCATGCTCAGAACCACATTTATTAATTCCTCAAACTTGGCAGCCCCTACCCAGATCTTTATTAATCAGTAAAATAAAATAGCTGAATGTGGAGGAGAAAATGAGAGAGCCAAAGGATTATTACAAATTAAATGGATATTTAAAAAGTGGGACACCTTTCTCAGGAACTAGGAAAGAATGGAATAATCTTGGTCACCAACAATAGAAGGCAGACTTCCTTTCACAAAAACTGCCTTTATTGCTGTCTAGCATTATTGTCAGTAATGAGGTTAACACTGATCTGCACATTCTGAGATCAAAACGAGGTCGTCATTTCTTTAGTGAAGCAATGGAACAAGTTGACCAAAGAGATGGTGGGTAACCCAGCCCTGGAGACATTCAAGGTCAGACTGGATGGGGCTCTGGACAGTGTGATCTAGCTGTTAGTGTCCCTGTTCTTTGCAGGGGAGTTGGACTTGATGACCTTTAATAATCCCTTCCAACTCAAATTATTTTTCAATTCTATTCTTAATATTCTGAATTCCAAAATATATCTGTGTGCTGGCTTTTCTGACTACAGTTTCACGTGGCAAGCATTATAAATATTTGTCATCAGCCCTGACACAGGGAAAACAACAAGTTCACGTTTTTCTTCTGCTGAGGCATTGTCTAGATTTTTGCATTTTGTCCAGGTACTGGGCTTGGACCACAAAATGCTGATCCACATCTGGAATTATCCCAGTGTTCAGGATTTTTTCTCAGCCCATTAGATTGCAAACTATTCAGAGGCAGAAAATACCCTTATTTTTACATCTTCCTCAGAGAGTAGAGTAGGAGACCTGGTTCCACTATTTGACCCATTTTAGTGGGTTTCTCGCAGCCCTCTCAAAGTTTATTTCTTGCTGCCTGAGTCCCTGGGGATATAAGAAACAAAGACCAGCATGTTTTTTGCCTGTAGCGCTGAGCAGCAGTGTGGCGTCTCTGGTTACCATATGTCCTAACACGCAAATGCATGGTGCCAGCTCATGCAACTACATGCACTATGCTGCTGACTGAATAAAAGCATCACACAGGATTTGGCTGCATCACTTTCTTGCCTGCAGGTCTACACTTTCTTTCTTCCTCTCATTCATCCTCAGTTTTATGCATACCAAATTTAGGTTTGAGAGACATAAGCTGATGGCAAAGGCCTGATGTACCAAGTTTAACTGAGGGACTTAACACAGGAGCACATTTAGCCTAGGCTACCTTAATGGTCTGTTCGAAGAATGAGAGACATTTTCAGCAGGGGATTTAGGAGGGAGCTGAATAACACTGGAAATTTCTTCCCTTTTCTCTTTTGGGAGTGAGCTAACAATGAATACATTCCTAATTAAGATACCTGGCCAGTTGCCTAGAGTTAGGTGATATAAAGCAAGCCACAGCATAAAAGCTAGTAGGGCCAACTGTAATCCTAAACAGTCCGTGCAACAACTTCATTTTCATAGCAACCCCTCAGACCTGTCATATTTATTCTTTCTTCTGTTTTTACACTGTCACATGCCAACAACGCTGTACTTGCTAGCAATGTGCAAGCCACAGTAACTCATCTTTTTCATGCAGGTGTAAGGAACAACAAGCTACCTAGAGTGCCCCAGGAGTCCATGCCAGCAAATAGCTGTACTACACAATGCCTGTTACTCTGGCCTCGCCACTCTGCTAAAGAATAAAGTTCAGCATTTCTACAGAAATGATTCGTGAGATTCACATCCTGATTGGGATTTGACCCCACATCCCCCATGATGAGATCTCTCTGCGAGAGAAAGTGACATAGAATTTCAGAAAGAGTGAAGCATGAAGAAGCTACAAAGAAGGGAGAAGTGCAAAACACACTGAAAAGGAAAGGGGAATTGCAGCAGATGTGTTCTTCTGGATTCTATAGGAATTTCTTTTTCCTCTCTTGGTTCAGAATTTCAGTATCATGTACCTGGCTGTCATTTTGTCAATATGTAATAATTGTCTACTAGTAAATATCAGGTGCATCTCGCTAGCATCCCATGCTGCTTGGGTCAAAGAGAGCTTCCAGTAACTTCTAGTAGATTCATTAGGCACTGCTTACATTTCTGGATACAAAGGCCTCAGACTGCTGCAAAGCAAGTTCTGCAGTGCTTTGGGACTCTGCCTGTCTCACTGAAGCCTTTGTGCATTTTCAGTGGATCTGATGCATTCCTTTTAACTGCTTTGAACAAATTCAGGGACACCATATAGAATCATAGAATCATAGAATCACAAGGTTGGAAACGACCTATAAGATCTGCTAGTCCAACCGTCTTCTCATTACCACTGCTACCACAAGCTACTAAAGCATATATCGCAGCTCCTCATCCAGGCACCTCTTGAACACTGCCAGGGACAGCGACTCTACCACCTCTCTTTAGAAACACAAAAACATCTGGCTTTCTAAATTTTAATGTTTTCTGGAAAACGTATTTCTTTATCTACAAAATGTCATGAAGTTTATGCCATTACTTTTTATGCCAGAATAGCCTGTAGAAGAGGAAGCAATTATAGCAGTAGTGTGAAGCTTTTTGTCTAAGATGCTTCCTAGTTTACCTCTATTTTTGTCCATAAATATTTCACCATTACCCCTGCTCTGATACTAAATTAGTTTTATAAATGTGCAACTAGAGGTGAGCTTAGTCTAGGCTAGTGAACTAGTGTATATGGTTTTGTGTTTATCATTATCTGTTTGAGAGTCTTATTTCCAAAGAATCCAAACCTGGATCCAAATTCAGAGTCCTTAGATAGTCTCTGTCACTGCAGAAGGCTCAAACAAAACAACCAATCACGACTTTGAAGACAGTTTTATTCTCAATCCTGATCCAAATTCTTGAATTCCTCTCTTTCCTCCATCCCTTTAATCTAGATTAGAGATAAGATCCTAAGAGCACAAGAAAAAAAGAATATCAACAGTAGATATTAATTGCCCTGTATCAGTCCCTAAGGAGCTCTCAAAATATTTAGACAGTATGACGTGAGAACATTGATAAAGAAAAAGAAAAAATGTTGGTAATTACAGCAAAGTTTAAATATCACATGTAATTTGTAACAAAGACCTCTAAAAATAACAGGAAAAAAAAGAAAAAAAAAAAAAAAAAGAATAAAATAGCATAATAAAGGGAAAAAAAAAATTAAATCAAAATCAAAGCATTGTCCTCCATGCCATAGGGGTCACATGAATGAAATATTTCTAATGTCCTTCCAAAAAGAAAACATCATGAAAAGCC